CATCAGCTATGCTAATAAACAGAGAGCTGGGTGAACCCTGATGTCTAAGGAAAGCTGTCCTGTGGGTAATGGCATTTCTACTTGGGCCTGGACAGAAAACCTGTGCATGAGCACAGCAGGCCTTTCCAGGGAGGAATGACAATATGAAAGATTTGACAACAAGGCAGGGCAGACTCGGGCACTGCATAGTTGAAAATGGCTGAGAAATTTGCTGACATATCTTAGCAGAACACCAGTGTGAACTGTGTAATTTGCTGAAATTTTTTTTATTAAAATATAAGGCCTCCAAAATCTTTCTAGGTAAACAAAATGACTGAAAAGCAAATTAAATAAAATTAAAACAGTTTACATAAAGATTGGAGTCTTCAAGTTAAGTCTCTGTACCAGGTTAACTGTTTAACATGTAACTGCTCAAAGACAATTTATTCCAAAATTAATTGAATAGGTTTTTTTTTTCCTTGACTCATTTAAATAAGTGAAGATGTTCAAGAGTTAAAAATCGATTAAGGATCTAATGCACACATAATTAAAACAGCCTGTCTTGAGCATGATAATTGCAAATTAAAAGGTCAGGGGACAGAAGTCACATGCTACATTTGAAAAAAAAAAAAAAAAACCTAAGTAGATAGAATTAAGAAATAGATATGCCTGAATGACATTCAGTTTGTAAAATTCCATTTATCAACATTAAAATAAAAATTTCAAAGCTTGTGGCCAGCAGACACAGGACAGCAGGATTAACTGAAAGCAAATAATGGGCTATTTTAGGGGAAGATTAGAGACAGTCAGTGAGGAAATTCAAAATAAATGAGGAAATCATGAAGGGTTTACAAAATGATCTCCTAAATGAGCTCTCACATCTCACATTAAGCACAAATAAATTCTTAAGCCCTTAAGGGCTTAAGATGACAGAGGATCCCAGAACTGTCAACCTTCCCCGGGCTTACAAAAGTCACTAAAGGGAGCAGACTGGAAGACCTGGCATTATGTGCAGCACTTCCCAGGTAAATAAAGTCTGCAGGTATAATAAATGTCGTCATCTGACAGGGGGATGCCGGATGAGATGCATGGCCACAATGACACTCATCATCCCCCGGGTAGCAGTCTAAGGCTGGGATGTGATGATTGGCAGCTCCCTGGCTCAGCCTCCTCATCAAACCCTCACGCTGTGGTAGCAACTGCCTACTTATCCACCTACTGCAATCAGTCACACTTAACAGCCGTGTGGATTTTAGGCAGAGCTAGTCCATCGGTGTGCCCTGAGTTTAAGTCAAACTGAAATGCAGCTGAAGTGACCTCGAGGCAATTGAGGCTTTTCAAGGATGTCACCATTGATGGTTTTCTCCCCCAGACAACTCTGTTCCTCAGCACTTTAACTTTCCTTTTTTAAAGAGAAGCTTTAAAATGAGCACTACACTGAGGTGGTTTAGCTTGTTAAAAACTGAAGACATCTGATTCCTCACAATGAGGTGATACAGTACCATCGCCCTCTCAGGCCCTTGTCACTGTGTTTAAATAAAAAACCCAGGTCACTCCATTTCTTCTATTCTAGGCTGGTTCAGGATGGTACATTCAACGTGACCTAGTAACTGTTAAGCAGCATCACAATATTCTTCCTGCACTTTATACCCATAAAGCTTTCCTCACAGAAGCAAATCCCAGGTCACATGACTGCTTGAAGTTGCCATTCTTATTACAACAGTCACCTGTAGTACTCCCTTATGAGTAAAACAGCATGTGATTGTGAGCAAACAATTAGCCAAGAATCTTACACACACACACACACACACACACACACACATATATATATACACACACATATATACACACATATATATGTATATATATATATATATTTTTTTTTTTTGAGACAGGGTTTATCTGTGTAGCCCTGGCTCTCCTGGAAGTTACTCTGTAGACCAGGCTGGCCTTGAACCAAGCAAGCCACATGCTCTGGCTCCAGAATGCTGGGATTAAAGGCGTGCACTACCACTGCCTGACTTCCACTTACATTTTCAGTTGAAATCTTCCCTCTAGAGCAGTGGTTCTCAACCTTCCTAATGCTGCAATCCTTTAACATGGCTCATCATGTTGTGGCACTCCCCCAACCATACAATGATTTCCATTGCTACGTCATAACTGTAACTTTGCTACTTTAAACTCATAATGTAAATACCTGTGTTTCCCGATGGTTGGTTTTAGGTGACCCCTGTGAGGGGCTGCAAACCACAGGTTGAGAACCACTGCTCTAGACTATGAACTAGTCTTGTATGCTTAAACATCCCCACGAAGTACTATAGAGTGTTCTCAAGTTTGTTTGTACTGGGGATTAGTCTCAGGGTCTTGGAACTAGGCAATTTCTCTACTTATAAGCTATATTGCAAGTACTTTATTTATTTTTATTTCTAGATGGGATCTCATTAATTGTCTGAGGCTAGCTTTGAAATAACTGTCTATCCCAGATTAGGCCTCAGCCTCCTGAGTACTGGGATTATAGAAGTAGATACCACGCCCACACGGTGTGCTTCTGACAATTCACATCATATGGATGCCGCCACAACCAAAACAGTGCTCTGCGATGAGGCAGGCCCAGCACGTGGATCTGAAAGTCAGAAACACGATGAGTATGAACTGAGCTATGTCATAAGCATAATGCACATGTCAAATTTTAAAGATTGTGTTAAAAAAGTGCATTTGCTGCCTTAGCCATTGTTACATAACTCTGGATTAAAAGGTGGCATAGTATATACCACAGGGGGACCCCTGTTACATTGTTGTGGCTGGTTTACTTTTACTTCCTAATGTTGCCAAAATAATTTTTTTAATTACCCATGTGACTTGGATTATTTTCATTGAACAATGCTAGTCCAGACTGTTTGAAATGAAAAGATGACCCACTAAGCTGAGTATGGTGACAGAAATGGTTAATCTCAGACCTCGAGAAGCAGAGGCAAGCAGATCTCTCTGAGTTTAAACCAGCAGGGTCTGCACAGCAAGCTCCCGGTAAGCCAGAACTATATAGTGTCTCAAAAGCAAACAAAATTTACAAAATATTAGTAATCCTTATATAAAAAGAAGCATCAAAAGTTATGTCTGTATAGGAAATACAAAATGTGAGGAGAGATACAGCATTTCACACATCAAAGATGGTGAAGAAGAAACATAGCAGTGCCCTTTTTGTCATTATACTGTGTTGTAAAATATGAATGTCATATTGGGAAAATGCTAGATAAACAAAAATGCATACAATACCCAAGTTATTACCTCACGTGGAACACAGGACATCAACTAACACAATGACCTATTTTGGTGATTATTTTTAAATTGTAAAATTAACTTCTGAGTTTTAAATTTTAATTTTATTTGTATATTTATTTATTACAATTTATTCACTTTGTATCCCTGCTGCAGCCCCCTCCCTTGTCTCCTCCCAGTCTTACCCATCCTCCTTCTTCTCCCCCTATGCTCTTTCCCTAGTCCCATGATAGGGGAGGTCCTCCTCCCCTTCTATCTGACCCTAGCTTATCAGATCTCATCAAGGCTAGCTGCATCATCTTCATCTGTGGTCTAGCAAACCTGCACCTCATCTCCTCCCAGAGGGAGGTGATCAAAGAGCGGACCACTGAGTTCATGTCAGAGACAGTCCCTGTTCTCCTTACTAGGGAACACACTTGGAAACTGAGCAGCCATTCGGCTTCCTTTGAACAGGAGGTCTGGGTCCTCCCTATGCATGGTCTTTGGTTGGATTATCCATCTCTGTAGGCACCCCTGGGTCCCAATATTTTGGCTCTGTTGTTTTCCTTGTGGAATTCCTGTCCTCTCCCGGTCTTTCTAGCTCTCTCTTCTTCCATAAGGATTCCAGCACTCTGCCCAAAGTTTGGCTATGAGTCTCATCCTTCAATACCCTGGTGGGTAGAGGCTTTCAGGGGCCCTCTGCAGAGGGCTCTTGTCTGTTCCTTGTCTTCTCCTACTTCCGATGTCTATCCTGTTTGCCTTTCTGAATGACGATTAAGCATCTTCCCTAGGGTCCTCCTTAATGTCTGAGTTTTATTACCTGTATTATTTTATAACCTAACATGCTTTTCAAACCTCATTGGTTATTTCATTGAGAGTTTTACTGAGAATTAAATTCAGTAATTTAATTAATTTAGTAATTCAGTAATTTAGCTTTTTATAACTCATCCATAAATTGAATAGTTACCGAAAATTTAAGCAGTTACTTCTGTGTGCATGTATGATATAGAATTGTACGCTAACATTTTATATCAAAATGCTGATCTTTAAATGAAGGCAAAGATGCTATCTTAGAACCAAAAGGGATTCCACTCAAAGACTGCAACAATCTGCTCACACCCTTCATTCCCAAGGACAATTTAAACTTCTCCTTAAAGAGCTTTTCTTCTTCTAGCCTCATTGTTTTTATTTCAGTCTTCTCAGGATCAGGGAATTTCTTTGATTCTAAATCGGATCTTTCAAAAGTCAGTAGTTGTTGGGGATACAGCTCAACAGTGCTCATCATGTGTAAGGTTCAGGCTTTAGTGCCACCATCTTAAAAAATATACAGTATTTTCGTTAAATTACTTTTTAGATTTTGTATATATGAGCGTGTTAGCATGGTATGTGTGTGTTATCATGGTTTGTGTATGTGGGTGAGAGTGTTCACATGCGCTCATTCCTTCGAATGGCATGCCAAATAGAACCTCTGAGCTAGAGCAATGGAGAGCTGCTCTATAGCTGTGAAAATAGATGCCTCTATGTTGAACACATTGACAAAGCATCAAGAACAAGCATGGAATCCTCACTATAAGTGAAGAAACACTTTGTTTTAATCTCAAAGTTGAAAAAATATATTGCCATTAAAATAACATATAAACTCATCAGTAACATTTTTAAAAAAGAAAAACATGAAACTAGAAGAAAAAAAATCATAGTAATTTCCATGCAACCTGCTTAGCTGCATTAAGTCTCAAGAGCAGGAATGCCACAGAGCAAAGCCTTACCTCCCGTCTCGGTCCCAGTCATACACTTCTACTTTGATTGTTCTGTCAGGGGAAAAATACACACATGAAAGTGGCTTAAATAAAATAACGCCATCTGATGATGCAATATGAAATATAATGAAAATAATACCATCTGAATCTACAAAACAAAATTTAGTCAGTTGTTTTCAGAAAATATATGCTTGTCAGTTTCACAAACAAATTGGAGTTGACTTAGTTAATTTTATCACTAAGGTTAAATTTACATCTTAAAGTTAGTTTCAAGAATCTGTATTAATTCTTCAGTGTGTGGCGAAAGAATGTAGACAACATAACTCCTCAGGAGACTATAGACCCATTTCTCCCCTCTTGGAGACAATCACACTGCAGCTTACTAGGCCTTTTTCCTAGAGTTTCCAGTTCAACAGACCTGAGTTAGGGCCTGAGGACCTTTATTTTACAAGGTGACTAAGTAATGTTGACATTGCTAATCAGAAAACCTAAGTACTGCTTTCTTGGGGATAGAATGAACCAGTGAAATAAAGTCAGACTCATTAGCCAAATGATGTGGCATGTTTAAAAGTGTAACACACTACAGTTCTTATAATGATTTTGGTTACTAGAATAAACCACCTTTTGGGTATGGTGGTGCACTTGACGCTGAGCCAGTGGAATCACACATTCATGGCTAGCCTGGTCTACACAGCAAAGCCCTGTCTCAACAATACTGAAAAGACAATGTTTTAATTTTTGCTAATGTAAAAGTAGTAAGGCTAGTAAAAGAACAAAGAGATTGCATTTTTATTTATTTACTTGTAGCTTTAATTTTCTAGAGGATTTATATATATATATATAATAACCTGCAATAAGCTTCCAATAAAGAAAAACTTCAATAATATGAATCAAGGATGCTGGAAGGATCGCAGGATAGACCTTACTAAAATGCCTTTTCTATTTCTATGAGTCTTTTATGAGCACAGTTTACCTGTGACAGTTTTAAGGGCTTATAGGGAGTGACAGTACTCTAGCCAAGCAATGTCCCATCCCTGAAGGTCACCCATGTGTTTCAATACAACAAGATGAACCATGGAGGCAATGGCAGCTTGTGGCAATGAGAATTCACAAGCCACATTTAAACAGTAGGCTAAAAATTAAACTAACATTCTATTTATTTTTTGGCACTTAACTCATGTTTATATTGGAAAAAAATGTCAAGATAATCAAGCTTTAATTCCCTAAAATTATAGCGATGAATTATCTCTTATCATTATGGATTAAAACCAAGTTGCTTAAAATTTTTTGAATAACCCATCCATGCATTAGTGGAAGAAACTATTTCCTTAGGTGACTAAGTCATCTTTATAGACGTGCAGTGCGACTAAACCCGAGTTCCATGGACGATGAGCATTCCGCATGCTAAGTCTGAGTATGTTCCATCTGTCTTACCTGTCATAATCCCCATTGCATAGTGCTCTCACTGAGATCTTGAAGGCTTGCCACACAGGATTTAGAGTGTTTTTGACAACTTCTGTCTTGTGACAAATTGTAAAGCTGTGAAAGAGTTTCAATTATACAGTTAGATGGATGGATAGATAGATAGATAGATAGATAGATAGATAGATAGATAGATAGATATAACTACATAAATTGTATATATGTTTATATTATATAGAAGTGATTCCATTACGAAAATTTTTATTTTTATTTTCTTGCCATTCCTCTCCATGGGCAAAGAGTTGTGCCCTCTCCGCTTCTGCTGCCTCCTGACTAAAATATACAAACATAGATTTATAAACTTGTGAGATTATCTCTTTAAAATATAAACAAAGACATGTGGCAATATTTACCCTCAAATAATTTTCTCCGAATTCAACAAATCCAAATTCTATTGTATAAAACTTGAGGTACACAATAGTCATTGGCTTTTGGCAAATTTGCTTAAGGTAAATTCAAAATTCTTGTTAAAATTCTAAAGTCATCAGATGTAGAATTTAAAAGTTTCACACTGGAGTTTCTCCCCGCCCCTCCCCAAGAAACTGACTCCTATACACAATATATACAATTCATAAGCAATGAATTGTTTCTTCTTTTATTAATTATTCTCACTTACAACATAATGTGTGTGGTCATAGACATAGAACTCTCACAAGTTCATATTTCACTGCCAGAGTAAGGAGTGAAAAATCCTGACTGGACTCTAATGCAACTTTTTCTAGTAGTCAGGAGGCTAGTTATGTAAATAGAAGGGCATGCATATGTGTATGCTACAGAATCACACAAAAACATTCTTAATAAATAACCTGTCGGAAAGCTTTATATGAAGCTCTTTGTAAAACATACTACTTGTAAAGAAAAATTATTACCTAGACTTGAATATACTGCATGAATATAGTACATGAAATCAACAGAAAATAAAGAAAATGGAAATTTAGAATTACATACAAGAAAGAGTTTTAATTACTGTTTCCAATATGGATTGTTTTAACCTGTTAGCTGAGAGGCAAAATTGGGTTCATATTTTGAAAATGTTTAAAAACAAAGAAAAAAAGCATGTAGTGAAAAATGCATGTAAAAGTGAGCAGTATTTAAAATTACTTTTCACTCAAATCTCAAAAAACACAAAAACTATATATATATAAAGTTTTAATATATTCATTAATACATGTTTTGACACAGATAGTTAACTAGTTTTCTATAACTATAGTATGTGAAAATATGTCTGAAGTAAGATTTATTGATTTTAAAAATTAAATTTTAATTATTTGGAAATTCAGAATAGTTTTAATTTTGAAAAATAGGTTTCCTTTGATTAAAAGTATCATTTGTATAAGCAGAAAATATATTCATAACAAAAGCATCATTAGATATGTGATAAGCTAAAATCTCAGGAAGAATTTGCAGAAAAATAAGAGAGCTCAGGATACAGTCTTTCCATCAGAAGGCTGCAAGAACACTAGGACTGAAGACTATGCCTGTTAGCTTCTCCACAGCCTGAGAATAATGAACAGTCATGCTTATGCCTTTTAGAATTTCGGTGTGGATAAACAGGTGCTCAGATGCAAAGTGTTAACACACTGTCATCTTCCGCCATATCAGTTAGAAGCACAGCAATAATGGCAGAAGTTTAAAGTCCATCGCACTCACCGATAATGTCTAAGAACATTTTCTCCTTGAATAATATTTTATTACGCAATGCTAAGACAAACAAATAGGAATGCATTAAACAATATTAATACTAGATAACGGTTAAACCTTCCCATTTCTGAAACTTTGGCATTAGTTTATATAGGAATTTATTCATGCCTTTCAGCCCTGTGAGATGAATCAACCCATTTATAGATTAGGAGACTGTACATGTTGCCAGAGCCATTAAGCATCACATGATTGACTTCTCGGCAACAGATTCTCAGGCATCTTTCTAGCTGCTACACTTGCTCATAAATGCGGACAGTACAGAATGACTCACAAGAATCAATGATCAGAAGGTACAGCCATGCACCCTCAACACTGCACACACAGAGTCACACTGGCAAACATCACACCACACTGAGACACTTTACTGTGTTTTAGAGGATATGATCTGAAGCAAATGTTTTTCAATTTTGAGAATTGTCCTCCCCTTCCCATCCTCCAAAACAAATGATTTCCACTCAATTCTATAGAAAGTACATTTGCTGATTCAGTTTTCTAAAGCATGCCACTATTCTACATTGCTAAAAGAAAACACATTTTATAAAAAGCAAAGAGGAAGTGGACACTAATTTATATGGCAAACATAAAACATAAATGGTTATCAAATTAGTTATTGAAATAGAAAATCACCCCATCTTTAAAACATCAAGTATTGTATTCCGTTTACTAATGAAGATCCTGAAAGAAACAATAGCGCAAACATCAGCATTACAATAGGTCTCAGAGAGTGTGGAAAAGGCACACTCACCTTCCATCCTCATTACTTCGATAAAATACAAGGAAAGGATCCGACTTTCCAAAGAAATCCTTCTTATCCAATTTGTTTGCACAAAACTGCATCAAGACAGCATCCTGAAAGCAGAATTGGTAATACAGCTCAAAATCTGGGACAGGAATAGCTAGAAAGTACAGATCACAAACAAGATTTGACTAGGAAACATTTGTTACTTTGATGTCATGGGCCTAGTGAGGGAGCTGTAGACAAAAGGCCATTATTTATTGAAGGATCACGAAGCTTTCAAATGTCCTGGAAATTCCATTCCAATGCCAGAAAACTAGTATTCAGAAGGCAGCTCATGCTCCTACCAACTCCCAAATTGCAACGAGACAGATGCCTTCAGGTGTTTAATGCCACCCCACAGCATCTTCAGCCACTTACATTATTACATCTCCTGACCACTTAGGACATGTTTAATAATCAACTATTACACGAGATGTATTTAGTAAGCCTCTATTACAATCTAGTTGGGAGAACTCTGTTATTAAAAAGAAGCAGAGCACAATGTCCGAAAACTACATTTAAATCGTTTCTTTGGTGCTTGAGTTCAAGAAATATAAAGCATCTTCCCTCTGACGTGCAACACAATTATACATTGTAACCTTTCCAGACTAGTTGTTACAATTGATTTGTATACTCAAGCACTTATATTATGAATAATTTCAAGGTACTATCATACTAAGAATGGTAAACTATTGAACTGAGCAGACTAAGTATTTTTTAGTGGTAGAATACGTATAGTTATTTAAAATTCAAATGAATACACTGGTGGAATTTATGGGATTCTTTTGTGAACTTTATACATAAGCACTGAATCTACAGGACTCCTGTCCTTCCCTCTTCGTCCAACCTCTCCTAGTGTCCCACCTCTCCCTCCCAAATTCATGATCTCTTCTTTAATTATTGTTTCAAGTATACACACAGGCATGCATGTGTAATACATATGCCCATGCATACTGAGTTTATATAACATTACTCATAGTGCATATGTCCAGGGCAGACCACATGCGAGAGCTCTTGTCCTGAGCAGACAAGGATTCTCCCTCTTATATCAGCTAAGGACCACCTATAGCTCTTCATGTCATGGGACCATGTGGCGTTTCCACCATACATGCTGGCATGTCTGCTGCTGTTATCAGTATGCCAGCATTATATACTTGGAGGATGTAAGATGCCTAGGTAGGGACCAGATGTGGAAAATATTTAAGATTTGTAATACGTTAACAAATCATAAAGGCAGGTCAATTAAGATAAAAGTTGATTTCTCAGTGGAGACTCTGAAAACCATAAGGACCTGGATGGATCTTCTACAAACTCTGAGAGACCAAAAATGTCACTCCAGAGTACTATATTTACCAAAACTATTGGTCACAATTGATGGAGGAATATAAACATTCCAAGATAAAACTAAATTTGAGCAATGTCTTCTACCAATTGCACTCGGCTGAAGGCACTAGAAGCAAAACTTCATTGCGAAGAGGTTAACTGCAGCCAAGAAGACACAAGAAATAAATAATCACAGAACAGTAAAGCAAAAGTAAAAAAAAAAATCATGAAAACAAAATAACAGGAATCAGTAAGCACTGCTCATTGATAACTCTCAATATTGATGGTTTCAGTAGTTCAATAAAAAGACACAGACCAATAGATTAGAGTAAAAACTGCTATGTTTCTGCTACATCCAAGAAACATACCCTACAATCAAGGAGAGACATCACCTCAGAACAAAAAGGATAGAAAAGGTATTTCAGGATAATTGGTACATAAAACAAGCATGTGCAGCCATTTTTACATTTGAGAAAATAGACTTAAAACCAAAACAAATCAAAAGAGCTAGCAAAGTATAATGCACTTCATCAAAGGGAAATCCACAAAGAAGATATTGCAATCCTGAACATGTATGCCAAACACAAAGGCACCTAGGTTCATAAAAGAACTACCACTACAGGTAAAATCACACATGGCACCACACACAATGATAGTGGGTGACCTCAACGCCCTGCTCTCGACAATAGACAGGTTATCCAGACAGAAACTAAATAGTTATATGATGTCATAAATCAAATCGACTTAGAAGATATTTATAGAACATTTCATCCAAACACAAAAGAATGTCCCTTCTTCTTAGCACCTCATTGAACTCAGTCTCCAAAACTGACCATGTACTCAAAATCAGAACAAGTCTCAAAAGACACAAGAAAACTGAAATAATACCCTGTATCCTATCTTACCACCAGGAATGATAGGTATCAACAATGATGGGTATCAACAATGGCAGAATCAGCAGAAAGTTTACAAATTCATAGAAATTGAACAACTCACAAACAAATAAAAAGTGAGTCAAAACGAAAATCAAGAAAGAAATTCAAAACATTTTAGAATTAAAAACACACATACCCAAATCTATAGGACAAGATTAAGGCTGTCACAGAGTTCATAGCACTATAGCTATGTCAAAAAATTGAGGAGATTGCATACAAGTAATATAGCAGCACACCTCAAAGCTCTAGAACAACAAGAGGAAATATAACCACAAAGAAGTAGATGACAAACTAAGGGCTGAAGTCAAGAGTATAGAAACAAAACAAGCAAACAAAAACATACAAAGAGTCAAGGAAGAGTTGATTCTTTGAGAAAAGCAACAAAATTGACAAACCCTTAGTCAAATTAGTTAAAAGACATAGAGAAAAGATCCAAGTTAGTAAAGTTAAAGATGATGATCAAGAAACTACAATAGACACTAAGAAAATCCAGGGAATCATAAGGACATTTAAAAAAATCTGTACCTGACCCAGTTGGAAAACCAAACAAAAGCAGATAGATTATTTGATATATGCAACCTGTTATAGTTAATCAAGCTCAAAGACATTTAAATAGTCTCATAACCACTAGTGAAATGGAAGCAGTCGGTATAAGTCTTCCAACCAAAAAAAAGAAAGAAAAGAAAAAAATCACACCAATACTGTTCAAATCACTACACAAAATATAATCTAATGGAACTTTTTTATTATTTTTATGAGACTACTATTAGCCTAATAGTACTCAAAATCAGAACAAGTCTCAAAAGACATAAAGACCACACAAAGACCCAACCAAAAGAGAAAAAAAGAAAAGTGTAGACCTATATCCATAATGAACATAAATGGAAAAATACTCAAGAAAATACAAGCAAACCAAATCCAAAAACACATCAAAAAGAGTATTCAACAGGATGAAATTGGCTAAATCCCAGATGTGCAGGAATGATTCAACAAATATAAACCATTAGACATAATCTCATAATCTGTTATACAAACAGACTGAAAAACAAAAATCATAGGGCACTAAATGTACAGAATTTTTTTTTAAAAAGGACTTTGAAAAAATTCAACATCCCTTCATGATTAAAAAACAAAACAAAACAAAACAAACAAACAAAAAACACTGAAAAGAACCAAGCACACAACTTTAATCCCAGCATTTGGGAGGCAGAGGCACGGGAACGTCTATGAGTTAGAAGCCAGCCTAGTCTATAGAGCAAGTTCTAGGACAGCAGAGCTATACAGAGAAACCCTGTAAAAAAAATCCTTGAAAAAACTACAGATTCAAAGAATAAACCTCAACCTAATAAAGGCAGTTTATATCAAGCCCACAGGCAACATGAACAACAACAAAAACACAACAAAACAAAAACTCTTGAAGCATGTTTTATAAAAAACGGAAGATAACTGTTCTCCATACCTCTTCAGGACAGCACTTGAAATCTTAGCTAGAGCAATAAATCAACTGAAGGAGAACACAGGAATTCAAATAGGAAAGAAAGAAGTAAAAGTATTATTTGCAGATGATATGATATTATACATAAGTGACCTTAAAAATTCTACTGGGAAACTCCTACAGCTGATAAATGTTTTCAGCAAAGAAGCAGTAATTTTCACAACTGTCTCAAAGGTAATATGCATGAATAATTCTTAACAAGCAAGTGAATGACTCATATTAAAAAAAATTACTTTAAAATCTTAAAAAATTTGGAGGCCATCAGAATATGGAACAATTCCCATGCTCAAGGATCAGTAGGGTTAACATTGTAAAAATGACTATCCTAGAAAAACAAATACAAGTCCAATGCAATCTCCATCAAAATTCCAACATGATTCTTCACAGAAATTGAAAGGATGATTTTCAGTTTCATATTGAAAGAAAGAAAGAAAGAAAGAAAGAAAGAAAGAAAGAAAG